TGTGCTGGATGTCTCTACAATTTTGTTCAAATGACTGCAGAACATGGAAAAGCTGTTGCTGCTATTGATGCATAACATACTGCTATTATTGGTCTCTATATATACACATATACATATATAATTTGAATTTTTGGAAACTTTAGCTGTGCTGTCAACTTTGGAAAAAATTATCCCAGTTTACCGTGTTAAGTTGGCATTGTACAGAAATTAACAGCCATATTGGTCTAGAAATGTTGAACTTAATTTTTTCCATTTGTACATGGGTAACGCACTGTATTAAATATGTAAGGTCTTATCTATGTGGGTTTGATTACAAAACTAATATTCTCTAAATAAAAAATGTATCTCTTGATGTAATAACAGTCAATATTTCAAAATATGACTATTTGAGAAAAGTGACTTTTATTAATTATGGTAAAATCAAACAATACAAACCAGTCTTACTCCATTGACTGAAGTTTAAAGAGGAGAAGTTATGAGGATACAGGTACAGACAGACAGAAAAAGCACTTAGTGAGACATAGTGAGAGTGAGAGTGAGAGAGTGAGAGTGAGAGTGAGAGAGAGTGATAGTGAGAGTGAGAGTGAGACAGAGAGCGATAGTGAGAGAGTGATAGTGATAGTGAGAGTGAGAGTGAGAGTGATAGTGAGAGAGAGTAATAGTGATAGTGATAGTGAGAGAGAGTGATAGTGATAGTGAGAGTGAGAGTGAGAGTGAGAGAGAGAGCGATAGTGAGAGTGAGTGATAGTGAGAGTGAGAGTGACAGTGACAGTGATAGTGAGAGAGAGTGATAGTGAGAGTGATAGTGATAGCGAGAGAGAGTGATAGTGAGAGTGATAGTGAGAGTGATTGATAGTGATAGTGATAGTGATTGATAGTGAGAGTGAGAGTGATAGTGATAATGATAGTGAGAGTGATAGTGTGAGTGGTAGTGATAGTGAGAGTGAGAGTGAGAGAGTGAGAGTAATAGTGATAGTGATAGTGAGAGAGTGATAGTGAGAGTGATAGTGAGAGAGAGTGAGAGTGAGAGTCAGAGAGTGAGAATGAGAGCGTTCGTGATAGTGAGAGTGATAGTGAGAGAGTGATAGAGAGAATGAGAGTGAGAATGATAGTGATAGTGAGAGTGACAGTGAGAGTGATAGTGATAGTGATATTGAGAGAGAGTGATAGTGAGAGTGATAGTGAGAGTGAGAGTGATAGTGATAGTGAGAGAGTGAGAGTCATAGAGAGTGAGAGTGATAGTGAGAGAGTGTGATAGTGATAGTGAGAGAGAATGAGAGTGATAGTGAGAGAGAGAGTGAGAGTCATAGAGAGTGATAGCGATAGTGAGTGATAGTGAGAGTGATAGAGAGAGAGAGAGAGAGAGAGAGAGAGAGAGAGAGAGAGGAGAGAGAGAGAAAGAGAGAGAGAGAGTTTCTATTGCTGCAACAAAGCACTATGACCAAAGACTAAGCTAGGCGGGAACGGTTTTGTTCACCTGTTCCGTGTCACTCACTATTCATGATGGAGGTCAGGGCAGGAACTCACGCGAGGAGGAGCCGGAGGCAGGAGCTCACGCGGAGGTCACGGGGAGCTGCTTACTGGCCTGTTCCCCATGCCTCCCCCAGCCGCCTTCCCGGGGGTGTCGGCACCCACCACGGGCTGGGTCCCCCATCGATCACTAATGAAGAAAGTGCCCTCCAGGCCGACTCACAGCCCAATCTTCCGGAGGCATTTTCTCAGCTTTCTTTCGGATGACTACAGTTGTGTCAGGTTGACATAAATCTACCCATTACACTGGTCAAGGGCAGCGGCCTCAGGAGAACCCAACCCTGCCAATACCTTGACCGCAGACTCGAGTTGCCTGGATGAGAAGCAAATTCCTATTCTTTAGGCCATGCATTCTTGAGTATATTTTTATGGCAGTCCCAATACAACAATGCTGACTAATTCCAAATTCTTTTAAACATGGTTGTGGATACATTAGGTCACATTCTTTGGAGTTAGTCACTGATACTAACTGGGTGTATATGCCTAAGTGTGGCACTTACAGACAAAATGTATCTTACAAAATCTTAAATATTTATGATTACAAAATATTGTTTTAAAATAAATTGCTTATGGTATAATTCTTCCTTCAATTTGTGTTCCCCCCAGTAATGGGTTATAGTTTCATAATAATTTTCTGTAATAATTCATCATAACAGATATGTAGCTTAAGCCCAATTTGGGAGTGTAACACAGCTACACTGAGCACCTTTCTATCTTTCTCATTGTTTGCATATTTGTGACTGATTTTCTAAAACAAAGGTTTCAAAATAGAATTGCTCAGTCATGGATTATATACATATTTAGTTTTACTAGGTATTTTAATAATTCCGAAATGAGTCTCGCATTTGTGAAAGAGATGCCATTTAGGTTTATAACGTTCTACGATTTTATTTTATTTTTTTGGTTTTTTCAGACAGGGTTTCTCTGTGTAGCTTTGGAGCCTATCCTGGCACTTGCTCTGGAGACCAGGCTGGCCTCGAACTCACAGAGATCCACCTGCCTCTGCCTCCTGAGTGCTGGGATTAAAGGTGTGCACCACCAACACCCGGCAGTTTCTACAATTTTAGAGAAATATTGTCTCTTAATTTTCACTAATCTTCCAAAGCTTTGTTTTTTTTTCTGACTGAAAGTAGTGATTTTCCATTTTCACTACTACTAATTAAGAAAATAGAATGTCTCTGACATGCTGTGGTATGCATTAATATTTCTCTTAATTTTCTTTATGCTACAAGAATAACTACTGAATGTTTTCTATTTGGAGCCTTTTGATAAGGAAGGCTTTATTTAACATTTTAGAGTTTACTTTTTTTTTCACTGTTGTATTACTTATTATCACCATAACTTGAGGAAAAGAGAAAAATGTATGAGATTAATGTGCTTTCTGTTTACTAACTATATTTTACAAGATGGATAAAGATAATGACATGTCTGCTATGCTTCTAAAATATTTCCCAAGGTTCTTATCTTGGAAACATTATCACAAAATCAGTAGGGCTGCAAAGTGCGGCCCAATAAAAGGTGCCATAGCCCTCGAAGATCCTGGTTAAGTCTGGATTGATGTCATTCCAAGAGTGGTTAGTAACTGAAGGGTAGTTGTTAGATTCACAGATTCTGGCCCAGCAGGAAGGCCCTTGATATCAGACTTATCAGCTTTGTAACTATGAACAAAGTCTTTATTTATCAACTATGTAATCTGTGTTATTATTGGAGTAACATAAAAACATACCCAATTCTGTGTCTTCATGTATTATCTGTACCATTTACCTTATATTATTCTGTATACTTTAAAATTAAAGTTTTCAACAAGTTATTCTAACAAAGTTGAAGGCAAGAACCAAGAAGTAGACCCGTAGGATTATGTGGAATGGACAAAGTTTTCAGTGGCCATTGGAAATATCTCTCACTTTCCTAATGGGGTACAGGTTTGAGTAGAAAATCCTTTAATAGCACTGTCCCAAAGCGATGGCTTTGGCACTCAAAGTACTCCATTTAGTTCAGAGTCCTGTGCAAACCTGAGTATATTTTCTACTTTTCTTCTACTATGTTTTCTGTCTAAAATATCACAGCATTTTGAAAGCCATCAAATCGTTCTGCACACCATGAGAACATTTCTAATAATGTTATACTCTCAGCACAAACAGGATAGCAGAGAGCAGCAAGTCTTGTTCTTGCAACTGAGATGTTTGTCCACTCCACCTCTCTCAGCCTCACGTCCCTCTAGATAAATCCAAATTTCTTAGGACCTCTGACAGTCCCTTTGTGATTCTGCCTCTGGCTTCGGGTCTAGCTTCACTCTGACCAGTGTT